TTGTGGGATATATTATGGATTGACTCGTACATGTCCTGAATGTAGCACTGGTGGTGAGAACCGTCCAGTTTATAAACTCAAATACTACCACCCCTGGAAATCACTGTCAGTGAAATATTTGGATGAATGTTGATGAGGATCCCACAGAATAATACTAAACATCTGATGTTAATGCCTTAGAGAAATTGAAAGGTTTAACCCTGTTGTGATCAGTGGGATCTTCCTTTAACTTGTTCTCTGTCAGATCTCTTTCTCACTTTGAGAGGATTCTGACTCCAGCTCTGGATTATTATTCTGTGTTGCTGTTCTTCCTTTGGATGCTTATTATATGGTAGAAATTGTACGCAATAATTCTGCTCAAGTTAAGGCATTAGTTTGTGAACACATATCTTGAAATTGTGAACGATTCCCTCATAACGTGGGTCAAGAAAACAAAGAATTCTTCAAAGGACATATTTATGATATCAGTCATTGAGAATGCACTGAATTGCAAAGTCATGGTGCCTTGGAAGTCAGATTTCCCAAATTCATATTTCATAATTAGAGAACAAGACCCTTCTTCCATTATTATTATCAGACATCATTTCTAATTTCACTAGATCTTTTCATAGCACTTACATTACCTGAGGAATGCACAAAACTCACACTGGATTAGCATTGCCAACTGATTTATTAAGTTCAGCCTTTTTTATTCATAGCTTTTATCTCAGTAGGATAGTGGAGAACCAAAATAATTAGTTCATACATTCAACTTTGCCAGTAAAAACAGTACATCTGTCCCATCACAAAGAATATGTGTCAAAATGAATAAAATTTACTTAATGGGATGAAAGATAGGCAGCAGCCTGGTGTGGCCATTTCTCCTGGCCATACAAATTGGAAACTGAAATCTTGTGTGCTTGGGAACCAAAGTACATGAATTCCTTTAGAGATGGGGGTTTTGGGGATGGTTCACTGATGAAATGATTGTTGCTCCCCAGCCTTCCAGTGCAGGAGGTCTGCCTGAAGGCACAGCTGAGACCCAGGCTGACAGTGATGCTGATCTCAGTACTCTTTGCCTGGGGATTGGGATTTACAGCTGACACTCACATTATTATGTCATACTGTTATTATGTCATATTTTAGCTAGTATTGTTTATTTGTTTTTATATTTTGAAACAGATCTAAAGAAAGCTGATTGACTGGGATTAATTATTGGTTGGTGGTAGCAATGAGTGTTTCGAGGTACAGGAGGCGGCTTTCACATCCTTTTAGTTCCTCAGGCAAATCCATGCTTGTGTGCCGTACTGCCTTCTCAAGCAGTGATAGTCTGTTACTCTGTGTGCACCTGTACCAACTTCCAAGTTTATGTTAACAACTCATGAACTTCAGATTGCCTGTAATAAATTTTTGGAAATCAATCTTTGTTTAATCCCTGCAATTTCCTATCTGGTTGTTTTGGAATTTTGTTTTGTTGCACCCGTTCCCTCAAGGATGAGCAGCAACCTCTGCATCAGAAAATAAAAGCTGTCGTAGAGAACTGGTAAGAAGAAAAGCTGGGGCAGACATTTTGTGGCATGAGGTGTGGGAGCAGATGGCTCCTTCAGGGAGATTTACTTTCCTGGAATATGATGGATAATTCCAGATATGTTCAAATTAAGTCAGTGGGCAATGAGAACATCTCCTATCCATGCTACACTAGAAAAGGCTGCCTCTTTTAAGCCAGTACACTGGTTGACTTCTGATAATATATTACTCAATATTTTTTGCATATTGCAAATGTTCTCATTATTCACGTTTCTCAAGTGTAAGAAGATTCTCCATCACTGCTGCAAATGGATTGATGCTTTATTTAATTCACTACTGATTCCCATGTTATAGTCCTTCTGCCCACAATTTCTTGCCTGACCACTGAGGGATGGGCTGGCAACTACACACCTGTGCACGTACCTCTCCCAGGCCATTGGTTCAGGTGAGCTGAAATCATTGTTATGGGTGTGTTCAACAAGTCATATCACACTGTCAGTGAGTATTTTCTCCCCCTGTCCTTCTGAGGAGGGGAAGTAAGAGAACAATGTGGTAGAGTCTGGCTGCCCATCAGTTGCTAAGCCCTCACTCTCTTCTTGAAGAAGTTTGCATTAGCTGCTGAACTGTCTTGGGTCTTCTCAGTATTAATGGATAACAAATTTTTGTAAGGTATGTTACAAAAGCAGAACACAATGGGAGCAGTTAAACAGAAATTAACCTATCTGAAGAGTCTGAAAGAGTTATTGGTGGCTGCAGTCAATTCTGGGGCTGTTTAAAGCAGCATATCGTTAGCAACAATACTGTGTTAAACGGTACTGCTGACAACAGTACATAAATCTCATTCTGAGGGAGTTTGAAGCTCCTCCTTGTCTTTTGCATAAACCTGAGACATTTTTGGAATGTCCTGAAGTTGAGAAGGTGAGTAGCATAAGTGCAGCAGTGGGTGATGGATGGATAGCTATGAAGCCCACAGGCTGCAGCCCGATCTTTCAGATGCTCTGTTGTAGTGGTGGCCAAGGAAGGTGGCAGTGCCAAGTTTTCCGTAGGTGTCCATTCTATATTCATTTTACCCACCATCATAAACTGCAGCAATTGTTTCTAAGGTTGTTGTGAATCTACTTGTGAATGGCAAGCTACATAAATTTGAGTATATATATATTTAAGCTATTTTAGTAATATATATTTTTACATATTTTTCTTGTTTGTTTGTTTGTTTGCTGTTTTTTTAAATTTCTGGGGCTAAAATATACTGTGAAAATATAATCATTTCAGACTTGTAAGAAACAGTGTTGGTACTATATAAAAGGTACAGAAATATACTTGGGAGTACTGCGAAGTGTAGAGCCAAGAATGCCGAAAAAGGTAACTATTTCATACGTACCAAACACGCATTTGTGCTTGATAAGTAGATGAGTTGTTTCACGAAGTATCGCTTGTCTTTTTTACAAGTGAAATGCACGTGGGTGACAGAAGCTTCACAGGGATGATGTGAAATCCTGAAGGCTTTGAAACATTTGCTCTGAAACAGGGAATCTTGCAATTCAGAAGGGTATAGAACACAGAGTTTGTTATCCTATGTGTTTTAGGATTTTGTTAATCCTGTGTGTTAGCTAAGTGATTTCAGTGAGCTGTGTGTTGCCCAGTTTACCTGTATGACCAGGTTGCAAACCTGAGGTTAATCCTGCCTACATTGAACATCAGCTTCTAATTAGACATAGAAATGAATGGGCTGTATTTCCAGACATTCCTACACAAGGTAAATAACTCCTGTCCCTGAACAGGATGCTCTGAACATCACACTGCGTGCCTGCTTTCTCATTGTTGATCTGGCCAAACCACAGGCAAGAAAAAGGTCAAACCTTTCTTACCCTTATTTCTTACGTTGTAACTGAACTGAAAATGGAGATATTTTCAGCCTTCAATTTAGCAGATTAAAGTGGTGTTCAATAGTTTGAACTTCTGCCATCTCCTTTCTCTCTATTGTTGCTCAGTCACCCTGAAGGCTATCAGTTGTTGTAGTAGAGTTCTGGTCATAGTGTTACGACTGACATTGAAAAATTATGCAGGAAAATATTATTACTGAAATAAGCAGCGAACTTATCTTTCTGTTATCCTTTCCATAAGCAAATGCCTACTATCCCACTAATCTGTGTTTATATCAGGGAACCTGCGCTCAGTAGAAGTACAGTTTATTTACATTCCTGGCAACATCTCAGCTTTTTACAGTCTGCATGAGAAATTTCCTTTAGAGAAATTCTGAAATAAGCTGCTACTAAAATGGAGTCTAGCTTTGACTTACAAAAAGTTGCAGTATTTAAAATGCAAATTATTGAATTATAAATGTTTAGAATGTTCAGGATGAGGGAAAAGAAGTGGTCTGTGCATTAGAATTATAAAGCTGTGCAAGCATGTATTGCAAATTCTTACCTGCTTTCCTGAAGATTATATATGCATGCTCATACTTTTTCATTTCTTTGCTGGCACAAAACACCTTTGTTAGGATTTTAAGATATGATGTTATACATTTTATGTTATTGGAAAAAAATCTAGTACACGTTGATGATCAGGAAAATGAATATAAATGGTGTCACCTTTAACAAATGCTTTCTTGCATATAAAGCAATTGTTACAGGATTTATGCAATCAAGCTTTTCCAGTATAACAGTGTTTTTAACAAGATTTGAGGGTCTAAAATTGACAGTTATAATTAAAGCTCTGTGAGCTGATATACTGATATTTACTCACTTCTGTCATTAAGTCTCTCTGTCATAAAGCTGAAGATACACACTCTGAAATGTGTTCTTTTTTTCTTTCCCCAAAATCGAATATATTTGTTCCAAATAGGGATACCAGCATTCAGATCCTGTGACTGCAGTGACTGCTCAGCAAACAATAGAATGTACCCAAAAATGTTTCATCTGTCACTCTACTGAAGTGATCATTCCCATTAGCTTCTTTTTGTGTGTGTGTTTTGTTTTTCTATTATATTTATAAAGCTCTGATTAATATTCTATCAAAGCCTATTAAATTAGATTTTGATGTATATTTGGTGTCTGCTGTATCAGTGGTGGTTTTTTTTAAGCTGAAATTCTGTATTAAATAAAAAGAGAATTCAGGACAACAGCCTTCAGGGAGTTTGTTGGCTTAGGTTATGCAGAAAAGCAAAATAGCTAAAAAGAGCTGGAATATTTTGTTTAACAAATGATGACAACTATGCAGGAAATGGTGTAATATAATGTTATGTAATTCTTTACGTTCCTATGTTGCTATACCATTTGTATCACAAATTATGCCTTGCAAGTTATTCTGTCTGAAGCTTAAAGGACAGGTCGCTATAGCTCAGTGCCTTGTGTCCCACATATTTGGCTCCAGACCTTACAAATTTGGATTCAAGTAATATTAATAAAGAAGTTTGATAAGTACCTGAGATAGCATGAGGATTTAATTTTACTACTGCATTAATTTTAATACTGCACACATTTTTCTTTTTTCAGAGATCACCAAAAGACATGGAGAACCTTACCTGGACTGCATACACCTGCATTAGAGTGTAAAATGGAAGATCGCATTTTACAGGTTATCAATAAGGTACTTAGCAATTTAAGATAGAAAATGGTTTCAACTGAAAAACAAAAAACAATCAGCAGTATTTATTTTCCCTTATCCAGAGGCTCTGAGTCTTTGATATCTGAACAATAATAGTGTTTACAATTTTATTATATATTTTTAATCTAATCTTTCTATAACATTCTACCCTGCTATCTCCTTTCCTAGTTTGCAGAAACGTATTTTCTCTATTACACCTGTTTCCTTATTCAGCACAGTTAATCATTTTTCTTGTAGTCATCTAACTTCACTTGTATTAGGAATTAATGAAATATACCTCTAGGCTGTCTTCTCGCTAGCTACAACAAAAAAAGAGACCTACTTCAGCTCCTAATGAATCATTCCTTGTTTGGGGGAATGCACAGTACAGTTCACTGAAATTCCATTAAAACATTTGATATCCATTAAAACTGAAAGCACAAGTGTATTATGTTTAAATGCAGAATAAGACAGAGTGGGCATATAAAAAATGAAGGAGCACTTACAAAAATGATTGAACCTCTTTCAAAAATTCTAAGGCTTACTCTGGAAGAATTCCAAATGTTGTGACCGACCACAACCACCTCTTAATTTTCAGTACTGTGACCTGTCATAGTCATTGCACCACTGTATCAGCACTGATTCTTTTGCAAGGTTGTGTATGCTCCAAGTTCATCATTTCAATGTCTCTAACCTACTGTGCTTTTATACTGCCCAGGTTATCTTAGTGTATATTTTTAAGGTTAAAAAAAAAATATTTAAACAAGTTCCTAAAATATCAGATTTACATTTTTTTCCCATTTGCAAGCCTCAAACCAGTTACTTATATTTCTGTGCATTCATTTTTAGCTTTTCCCTTTATAATGAGTAGTGCAAATATGTAATTAGCTGAAACTCACCTGAATACACCTCGAAGACTTAAACTTGCTGTTCCATATGACGATGACTTTCTTTAAGAATTGGATACTTAGTCTTTTGCTCAAGGTGAAGTCTTTGACAAGAGAAAGGTATTAATTTAAACACTGCCATTCTATTTCCCAGTCCCTTAGAGCTGCTTAAAAAATTTTTGATGACTGTGAGAAAAGGAAAGAGAGGGAAAGAGAAGGGACAGAATGCTGATCAGTTAGGGGAAGGAAAAAAAAAAAAAAAAAAGAAAAAAAAAGAAAGATTTTTGTAAGAAAGCTGGATTTGAAAAATTTCCTTACCTGAAAATGCAAGAAAGCTTTTGTGGTTTCATTAGATTTATGTGTTTAAGCCAAAAATACCGGAGTTCTTTCTGTCTGTCCTATCAATGGCATGTGTCTCTTCTTTCTCTCAAACTTTTTTCCAGTTTCTCCTGGATTAAAAGGTACAATATAAGGTGAGTAATGGAGTATTAGATATTGGGAAGGCTCAGCATGAAGCTTGCCAGAACCCAGTAAAATGGAGAGACAGAAGACTAGATCACATTAAAATGTATGCACTAAGCAGTTGCACAGAAGGAAGTGAATTTCAATCTTCGTTTGTAATTCTGGAAAGTGGAGAGTTTACTGTAATACATTGGTGAAATACTGAGGAGTAACACCAGATGCTTTGGGGATTTCTGAGAAGAAAGCTTATGAATCATAAAAGTTGGCTGTCATTTCTTGCCAGCAGATACCTAAACGTGTACAGTATGTTTAAAGAAAAAAAAGAGAAACCTAGGAATCTTTGAGTGTGGAAAATTGGGTCATTGCTTCAGCTTGTCTAAGTCTCAGTGAGTGGCATTCCATCCCTCAGGGGTGCTGACCACACCACACCTCTTGGCATCATCTGCAAACATGCTGATGGTGCACTCAGTCCCACTGTCAATGTAATTGATGAAGATATTGAAGAACATTGGTCCTGTTATTGACCCTTGAGGTACACTGTTCATCAGTCATCTCCATCTGGACATTAGGCCATTGACCACCACTCTCTGGGTGTGAACTTGCAACCAGTTCCTCGTCCATTGATCAAACCACACATCAAATCCGTATCTTTCCAATTTGGAGACAAGTGTCAAAGCCCTTAGTGAAAACCAGATAGATGACTTCAGTGACTCTTCTCTTGTCCATTGTCCACCATAAAAGGCTGCTAGGTTGGTCAGGCAAGACTTGCCCTTCGTGAAGCAGTGTTGGTTACCCCCTATCAGCTCCTTGCCTTCCATATGCCTTAGCAGAGCTTCCAGGAGCTTCTGCTTCGTGTTCTTCCCCAGCACTGAGATGAAGCTAACAGATTGGTAGTTCTCTGGGTCTTCCTTTCCATTCTTCTAAAAATGGGTGTGATTTTTCCTTTTTTCAAGTCTCCAGGGATTTCACCTGACCACTGTGACAGTGTTATTTCCTACAATGCAGTTTGGCTGTTGTTATTTCTTCAGTTCTTAAAGGATACGTACAGTGCAATAAGTTGTATGGATCAGCAGCATATGGACAAGCAGCAGTTTCTCCCCCTGCAACTCTTGCTGTGAAAATGGAAGTATTGGGGTATCCCTGAGTCCTTCCCAGCCCTCACTTCTCTGGCACGAGGGTTGAAGAAGCCATTCTTCTCTGGCGCTTCCCTGCTTGGGGACACAGGCCACATACTTACTCCGCTGCCTTTCTTCTCTGCCAGAGGTCCAGGAAAGTCAGTGGACATACAGCGCTGTCTGTGTTACAGTGGGCAGGATGGGGTCACTGGCCATATCAAAGTTGGCAGAAGGTGGGTGGTGGTGGCAACAGGTGGGGCAGGCCTACAGCTGGAAGCAGAGGTGGGATGAGTGCAGGGGATGAGAGGGGAAGGGGGGTCACCACCTCATCTTCCTGCAGGGGCTGAGCCCTCGGCCCATCTGTAGGCTGTGAGGGAGCTGAAGGGCTTTTGCCTGCAGCTGCAAAATTGCCTCATTCGCTCTTTCTCTCAGGGTCCCTGGAGGAAAGTCTGCAGGAGAGGACCCATCACTGCTGGGCCATGGTTTGCAGAGTACTCCCTGTCAGGCAGCACTGTGACCACCATGAAGCAGGACATGCCAGGCATGAGGGAATAGGGTGACTGACAGCAAAGTACCCACATGTCTGCTGGGGAGAGGTAAGTGGGGCAGCCCAGCCCAGGGATGGGCCACATCTTCTCTTAGAGAATATTTGTCCATGCACTGCTCTTACACTGAATAATAGATGTTCAAAGTTTGTACAAGGAAAAACATTCAGGTTTAATTAATTCAGCACATGATAAAAAATATGAAATAATCTTCTGCATATTCTTTGTACTGGAGACAAGATTTGGTTGTAACATTGAAAACATAGTTTATTTAATGCAAGACCTCGATATTTTTGTGTGATGATTTAATCAAACATGCTGAAGTTGGAAATCTAAAGGTTTCAAATAATTCATTTTAATTACTTAGGCGTCATTTAATCAAAAAATCTTCCATGGTAATAATTATATTGTCGGTCCTTTTCTCACATATACTTAAATATTTCATATATTAATATCAAACTTGATTACCGTACTTACTGAGAGCTACAAGCTGCTGCATTGCAGTTGCTGAGGTAGTGCTATCTGAACGGCTCAAAATGAGCTCATTTGGGTATTGGAAGCCAGCAAAACACTGGTAACACACCTGTTTGTTTGGGTTAATATAACCTATTAAGAAGCATGATGAATTAGTCTCTGTGGAGTTTCTTGCTATCGCAGTTTGACTGCTTCTGGAACCTGAAGTAGAGCATTTTATTTTGGCTGGCAAGCTGCAATGATAATGTATCTCATAAATTCCAAGTCTGGAATAATTCCTCAAGAAATAACAGAGCTGTTTAGCTGTAAAGACAAACAGTTGTATTGAGGAACCCCTTGAGTTTTTCTAAGATTCTCAGAGAAGAGCACTGAAACAACTCAGACAGCACAGCTGAGACCATTTTCAAAGCAGAGGTAATATTTGATTTATGTCAATAACTATTTCTCTCTATCTTCGATCCCCCTCGGAGCCTTGTCTGGAGCTCTGGAGCTCAGCCTCAAGGTTCTGGGGCCTTCAGAAAGGGGTGTCAGTGTCCCTGGGAAGAGCAGACAAGAAACTGAATTCTGGTCTTGTAAAACTTGCTAAAGTTTGTAAAAATTGAGGTTATTAGAGACCTATATTAGTAGCAGGGTAAATGAATTCTTACCACAGTAATGTAGATTACTGATGTCAACAAAATAGCCTTGTATCAAAACAGGGTCCAAACAACGTGCATTCTTGTTATCAAAAGATTGCAGAAATATCTGGTGTGTTATGCTCAGTTCTGAAAGTTTCCTCAGACCCTCTCAGAACCCAACTTGCTTCACTGTACTCAGTCTCTTATTTTGACTTTTTCTGTCTGCATGTATAAAGTGGTCAACAGCCCACCTCCCACTCTGTAGGGCAGACTGAATCTGAATTTGTGAGAATTTTTCTCTAATCTTTATTCACTTCATTTTATCTAATCCTAGGCCATTCACAAGTTGTTGGAAACACAAGCCAATTTTTTACTGAGCAGTCTCCTTGGTGCCAGATGTGGTCCTTTCACCATATTGGTGTCTGGCAGCTATAATCAACTGGCATTTTGAGGGCTAAGGGAAAAATAAGGGTAAAATTCTGAGTTTATTGTTTTAAGTAGACATAGGATGCAGTATAATTTCTACCAGTCCTGGAGCTCATATCCAGTGGCTTTCATTGTACTGAACATGTTGTGGTTCTGTTTTGTTCCTCCAGGCAGTAATAGCTCAGCGTGAGATATTCTTCTTGTTTTCCTTTGTAATGTTTGGTGGCGTTTCATCCTGCAGTCTCTGTAATGGAAGGCAGATTTGACTGTTTTGGACTCCCACTGGATTTTAAATATGTTTTCATCAAGTTTGTTTATGAAGTACTTTCACAATACAATAACCTTCTTTTACAATGACTTCCTTGTTCTAGATATGTGAAAATATTTTTATGTTTTGTGTCTCTTTCCAAATCCTCAACAATATATTTTGGTCCACAACAATATATTTTCCTATCTGCACATAAAGTTAACAAGAATTTTTGTACAGCTTCCTTCTGTATACCTGCTAACTGTTTTTATGAAGCAAGGGCTTACTGCTTGGAGCAATACATATATAGTTAGGACTTACAATATGACATTATCCAATCTATTTTAAGCATTCGAAAATAAAATCTTCTATTAATATCAGAGACCATATGAATATGCATTAACATTAAATTTCAGTGCTGAACTACCTTTTTTTCAGTAACTCAATACAAAAGGTTCAGTGTTATGATTTCTCAGTTAATGGTGAAAATCAGTTTTGATCATGCTGTTACAAAAATAGTTGGCATTTAAGTAAGCAGTGAAACACTCTGTTCTCTATGATTTTTTTAGCTGAGAAAATGGACAAAAGCAACTACATTTCTTGAGTACATTGCGATATAACGTTTCCATAGAGTGACTTTCTTGACTTAGAATAGAAATAGGATAGATATTGATAGCATGAGCTCATTTAAAACTATATGTTGATCCTGAAAAAAAGAAACTTTGTTAAGAGGAATTAAGGTTGGGAGGATAAATGACTGTTTACATGGGTTGATAGTGACGGGACAAGAGAGAGTGGTTTTAAACTGAGACAGGGGAGGTTTAGGAGGAAATTTTTCACACAGAGGGGGGTGAAGCACAAGGAGGCTGTGGATGCCCCATCCTTGGAGGCATTCAAGGCCAGGCTGGATGTGGCTCTGGGCAGCCTGGTCTGGTGGTTGAGGACCCTGCACATAGCAGAAGGGTTGAAACTAGATGATCATTGTGGTCCTTTCAACCCAGCCCATTCTATGATAAAATACTAACCTTTTGGGAAAACGCTGCAGAACACCTTTGTAGCAAATGCATAATGGTCTGGCATTAACTGCTCCTTAAAAGAAACATCAGTGGCCTAAAAACCTGGAAATCTAAAGTTTAGAAAAAAAAATGCTAAAAATGTGAAATCTTGTAGGATATTGAACTACTGAAACCGAAATTAAGATTGTAAATAAGATTTTTTTGATAATGTTCAATGGATTGGAGTAGCCAGTGGTGACACTGGTAAAGAATAGTCTTGTCAGTGATCACAGCTTGCTGACTGCTTACATGCACTGGAGGTGACAGCATGGCTCCTTATGTGAGAATACCATAATTCATTCATGAAGTTGACTGACTTTATTGAAAGTGATCTGGTATTATGTTGATTCATATTCTTTTTTTTTTTCTTTTCATTTATTATGTAATTATTTAGATGCATTTAGAAATAATATTTTAATGGTAAATATCACGATGGTGGCAACATTCTCAGTAGTCTTTCAACCAAAAAAGTCAATGAGCTGTGGCACTAAGCAGAAAACGATGAAGGAAGGTTGGGAGATTGTCGTGGATGATCTCAGAAAGGTCTTACCTTCAACCTAAATGCTTCTGTGATGAATGAGATATTGAGAACAATGACTGAATAGTTTAGGGTCTGGGATTTGCTTCATAAACTTAGATGTAATGAGGAGAATTGCCATAATGACCATGTGGCTGGTGCAGAACTAGCCCTGTCCTCTGATGCCTGAGAAGCAGGGGGCTCAGCTCCTCACCTGGGACCTGTAGCAGTCTGCTGAAGCACTTGTTTCTTTCAAGGAAGTGCCCGACTCCCCTCTGTTTCCCTTTCTCTTTAATATTCTGCAATTAACCAATATTTGAACCAACACTAAATCCTCAGGAAGGGGAGTTTAGCCCACAGCCCACACTGCATCCTAGCAGCTTTACCAATTTGGTACTTGATTTCAATAAATTCTCATTTAAAATATTAGAATAAGAACATGCAGTTATTTAAAAGAGAAGGAAAAATGTACAGTAATTTTCTTGGAGAAGGTTTTTATCTTAGAGCTGTCAAGATTCATTGACGTGAGTGGAAAGATGGTGGCTCAGGTCTCCACTGAATGGAAATAGTAATAGGAGCAGCAAAACAGCTTATGCCACTCTTCTCCTGTGTGTGTTTCAAAGAAAACTGGGAAGATATGAAATAACACACACATCCTGAAATGACTGTACATCTGAGGATACTGTGTTTAGGAAAATTAAATGCTTTTCATCTCTCAGCAGTATGTATCATGGTCAGCACATCCAGAATTAATACGGGTCCAGAGAAAGCAAACATCTGAGGTCAATCAAACTGCCAATCCAATCCATGACTATCTTTTCTGTCTTTTCTGTTTGTTCTTGTTTTTTGTGTAGTTTTTGCACTGTTTGCATTCTAGTTTACATTCAGCCTCTAGAAAGAAACGTATCTTCAGCATTCAGAAAAAGGGAAGATTAAGAATACATATGCACCTAAGAGATTCATTCCTTCACCAAGAGTCCTTAATGATTCCAGTCACGTTAGGCCCCTTTTGGAGTTGTAAGGGCTGTCACTCACTCTACACCATAGCCTGGTATTTGAAAGCTTCTTGCTTGCCTCTTGACATCTCTCCCTCTGTTTGACTTGTTCAGCTTTATTTCCTTCACAGTAACATGTGGCCCCAAGGAATTCATTCTTTTCCTACCTATACTCAACTTAAGCCATTTAAGTTCTGTTTTTCTTGAAATCTGCTGGATTTTTTTTTTTTTTTTTTGTCAGCAATGAAACATTATTTTCACCTTGAGGACTTTAACTCTTAAAAGTTTTGTTACTTGTTAGTAAAAACACAGTCAGATTCTTTCTGTTTTCTCTTCAATGCCTTATTAAGTGAGAAAGTTTACTGTACAACCTTAGAATACATTAATGAAAATTAATTCTCTGTTAAAAAGTAAATTTTCCAAATTATCCTGCAGAAGCTTCCTGTATGGGGCAGTTTGTTTTATTTTACATTTCAAATTAAACTAACGAGCTTGTTCAAAACTGCCTGAAGTTGAAAATTGCACGGTGATAACTCTGTTAAAAATTAAAGTGGTAAAAACTGGGAGATTTATAAAGACTTTAAAGCCTGAAGCTTGCTAGTATGGAGAGTTCCTTTAATCTCAGTCTAGCTATTGAGTTTCTGTTTTTCTGATCCATATTTATAAATTCTAGTGCCATCATAGTCTGGTGAACATAGTGGTATTCACCAGATTGGTGAT